TCCAGGAGCTCCCAGACTGGGCCCCAGATTTAATTCAGCAAATATTGACTGACTGTTGTGGACAAAGTGTTGGGCTGTCCTGGGAGGAATCCAAGAATTGCTGAGCTCACAACCTGCAGGAGCTCAGAGTACAGCAGAGCAGACAAAAGGTGTGTGTGGGGTGGGAGGGATGTGACGCAGCTGCAGCAAAGCCAGGTCAGGAGCACTCATGTTCCTATGTTTACTGGGTCATCTTAAATCCAGCTCTGAGCCTGCCCCCACCACCAAGGCTGACAAGAAACTTCCCTTTATCAGTGGGAGTCGGCTCCTACTGCAGGTTCGTGAAGGGTTTTAGAAACCAAGAGTGGGACAAGGCCTGGTACTCATCCTGGGAGCCATCACGGCCACTTTTACTTTCACTCAATGCTTCGTGATCACTGGATCACTGGACACTGGTGTGTCCTCAGTGCTTAGGGGTGGCCCTGCAAGCCAGCCTGCTGTTAGCCCCTTCCCCTTTTAAGGTACTGAGAGCAAACAGCCTTCCATAGCCCTCCCAAGAAATATCCAAGTTGTTGATGGTGGGGGTGTGTGATGCCACTGTCCTCCTGGGGTGGGTTGCTTTGTTTGTGTGGAGGGAGGGAGTCCCACTGTTGCAGACCAGATGGACAAGAGCACTTACTTAGAAGTCAGACAGACAGGGTTTAAAACTCTGCTCCCAAGTTTGAACTTAATGATAATAATCTCTTAATAGGTGGTTATGCTGTCTGACCTTGAGTAAAATTACTTCACCTCTCTTTGCCTGTGCCTCGATTTCCCTACTTGTCAAATGGGGTCAAGAGTTCCTTCTTTGGGCTGGGAGGGAGGGGTGCAGCTCAGGGGGAGAGCACTTGCCAAACATGCTTGGGGTCCCAGCTTCAATCCACAGTTCTGCCAACAAACAGAACTGTGGACTGAACTTCTTGCAATCCCCAGTCCTTTTGTTTCTGAGACGCCCCTCTGTGAGCTTGCACTCTGGCCATTTCATATCTATGACTTTTTCAACAAACAAATAAACAAGAGCCAGGGGTCCATCCTCTTCACGCACTGACCATGACAATGATCCCTGCCCCTCGTCCCTGGCTTTTCCAGGCAGCACACACAGCCCAGCCCCCATCTATCTTCTGCTGCACCCAAACTGGGAAGGTTCTATCTTCCTTGGTCCCAGATCCATCTCTGTGCCTCTCCCACCTAAATTAACTCTCCCCTGGAGACTCCAAGAGGGGCTATTATGTCTCCAGGGAAAAATAGTTCAGTTGCCTTGCTTCCGGTAACTACTTCTGGGACATCTTCCTCCTTGTGAGACCCTCCTCCTGGAGACTGGCACTGTGGTGCTGCCCTGCCTCCTTCCTGCCTGTGGCTGCCACTCCTCCTCATTCTCAGGATGCTTCCCTCTTGGCTCACTTGACCCCACCCAGATCCAACCTCAACACCTTATCCAGGAGGATGACCTCACAGCCTCTTGACCTCTCAGCTTCCCTGACCCATTAGCACCCTTAGGGACTTGTCACCGTCCCAGTTTCCTCCAGGCTTCCTGATCTCACTCCTCCCAGCTGGAGGATGTCCTCTGGAGCATCTCCACCTGCCAGTCCCCCACTCTCAGAACTGCTCAGTATTAAGGATCTCTTCTCTCCTCCATAGCTTCAATGGCTTTCTCTCAACCAAATTCTTCCCATCAATATGTGTTCTTATTAGCTTCATCCCCAAAGTATCTTTCTTCTCACGTTGAGTGTCCAGGGTATCCCTCCATTTCTCCTCTCTGCCCTCCCTCAATGCTCTCCAGTTGCTGCCTGCTCTCAGCCTGGTATCATTGGATGATGGTCACCACACCAACCCAGGGATTTTTCTGGTCTATCCTGGATGGATTCCCAATTCCTGTACCTTCCTTCTTGTAATCCCCAGTCCTTTTGCTTCTGAGACTCCCCTCTGTGAGCTTGCACTCTGGCCATTTCATGTCTGTGACTTTTTCAGGCTTATGGAGTCAAGAACTGAGCCTTCTTTCTGCTTCTAATGCAGTCTCCGCTGGGGGACTTCTCCCTGGAGAAACCCTCATTCCTCTCTCCCAACAGCTTCCCCTCTGTGCTCCAAGCCTTGTCACCTCCATCTCCTTGTGTTCATCTCAAAGGCACCTCAAACAACAGATCCAAAGTGCCAATCATGCTTGACACCTTCTTCTTCCACTGGGCCAGTCCTGATAATCGTGCCTAGGCCCCCAGCCCTGCCTTTTCTCTGCAGCTACACCCCCGCCTTGTGACAACCCTTCCATCTCCCTGTCTTGCTGCTTTGGCCTCCCAATCACTGCTGCTTCCTCTCTTGCCTCTTTCTGATCCATTCTCCACTGAGCAGCCAGCAAGATCTTCCCCAAATGCAAACCCAACTGGGTCATTCTCCTGACTGAAGCCCTCCAACAGCTACCTCCTGCTCTCATCAAAACTCCTCTTCTCACAAGTTCCTCCAAGACCTGGTCCCTGCCCTCCTCCCCAACCTCCAAGCCTCATTTATGACCTATCTTCCCCTTGCTTTCTGACCTGCAGTTCCTTATCCCTGACTCACTGTGACATGTGGGGGCCTTTGCCTATGCTGTTCCTTCGGCCTACTTCTCCAGCGCCCTGCCCCCAGGCCTGTACGCCCTTAAATTTCTTTCCTCTTGTTCTCTATGGCTACTGCACAAATGTAATTTCCTCAGGGAAACCTTCCCTTCTTATCCCTTCCACCAGATCAAGTACCTTGTTATATTATGCACACAGTGGGTGGTTGAATATTCATTTGTGTGGCTGTCTGACTGGCCTCTGTCTCTCAACTGTCTGTGAGTAAAACCAAGGGAACAGGCTTGTCTCTGTCCACCCTCTATTCGGTATCTGGCAGAGTGGCAGGAACTGGACACTTGGACACTTACTGCATACTGGCTCAATGCATGTGTATAAAGCATACTATACAACATAAAATTGGCTCAGTGTTATTATTCAGGAAAATGTTCCTGGAGTGGGTAGGATTTGAGCAGGACCTGAAGTTGGAGAGACTGAACCAGACTTGCTAGCTGGATAGAGCTGGACAAGACATGCCTTCAGCTAGAGTCTCATTTCTCAAAAAAAGGTCAAATTAGCTGAGGCTCTGAGATCCCATGGCCCTGGCACCCCATATCCGTGAGAGTCGTCTTCTGGCTGGCAGGGTTACTCAAGCCAAAGCAGTTTTTAGGGATGGACCCCAGGCTCTAAAGCCCGGGCTGCACCGGTTTGCAATCCTCCTCTCGGCCACATGGCGACGCTCAGAGACCAGACACTCAGCTCCGAGTCCGGGCGAAGACCCGCCCGCGGCTCTGAGGGCGTCAGGCCCGCCCCTCGCAGCCTGCCGCTGGGTTTCTCTCGGAGCAGCCATGCTGGGGGCGCGGGCCTGGATGGGCCGCAGCCTCCGGCTGCCCCGCGCCAGGCTGGGTCTCACCGCGAGCCGCAGGTACGAGCGGGCCGCTGGGGTGCGCCCTGCACCTGCGGCGCCGGTGGCCGGTCTCCCTGGCTCTGGGTCCATAGTGCCTGCTCGGGCCAGCCCCGCATGCCTGGTGCTCCCCGCACCCCACCTGCCTCTGATCTGACTTGGACACCTGGCCCTGCAGAAGGGTCCTGAGACCTGCACTGGCAGAAAGGGCCTCCGTCTCTCCCCAACCCCCTCCACTTATGGGGCTGGCTCCTGGGGGGACTAATCTGAGGCTACCACCAAGAAGCCCTCCTTGAGCCCAGTGCTGGACTAGGGCCCTTCTTCAGTAACATATTGTGACCCGTCACTGCCCTATACTGATGTGGGGCCTGTCCATTATTAGGTCTGCCCCCAGCATCACTCTCCTAGGCTGAACTCCTTCAGATGGGGTGTTTCTGATTCCCTGGGTGTCCTCCGGGTCTGACACAGGACCTGGCCCATTGGGCTGCCCAGTGGTGGATTTTGAGTAAGGAGTCCTCTGGACTGTTTTCCTCTGGTTTCCCATCACCTGGCTCAGTCCCTGACCCTGTTTATGTGTGGTCCAGCCACTCCTAGAGCAGCCACCAGCAGCTGTACCTTTCTACCCAGTTCATGCCCCCATGTATGCCAGAGGACCCCTCCCCCGCCCAGTGTAAACCACCCTTGGGAGGGGCCCTGTTAGGGGGACAGAATGGTGTTGGAAGGACCATTCTGCCCGTTGTGACTCGCCCTGACCTCACAGTCATCCTTCCCACCACCAGGTCTTGAGAGGTTGGGGGAGACTAACCTGGCAGGGAGCGCCCAATGAGCCACCTCTCCTCACCCCCCAAAAAACTTAAGGGGGAGCACAAAGGCCACCGTCTCCCCCGTGGTTCAGAAAGGTGTGTGGGGCTGGGAGTTGGGGTTCTTTGGGGTTCGAAGGAAAGCTGGGTGGGATATGGGGGGAGGTGGGCATGGGCACAAGTGGGGCAGGCCTTGACCTGTGTGACCCATCTGCCCATACCAGGGGTAGCTCCTCCCGGGACAAGGACCGTAGTGCTACAGTCAATAGTTCAGTGCCCATGCCTGCCGGAGGGAAGGGAAGTCGTCCCAGCTGCCCCCCAGCCACACCCCAGAAAGCCCCCAACCGCCTGATCAATGAGAAGTCACCATACCTTCTACAACATGCCTACAATCCTGTGGACTGGTAAGTACCTTTCCAGTGCTCTCCTTGAAGCAGCTGGGGCCCCAGACCCCCCCCCCAACCCCCAGGGCTGCTGATTGATGCCACACCCTGCTGGACCTAGGTACCCCTGGGGACAGGAAGCCTTTGACAAGGCCAGGAAAGAAAACAAGCCAATCTTCCTCTCAGGTAATGTGCCCACCTTCTCTGAAATGGGGAGGGCTGTGTGGGGGGAAGGGTTGGTCAGTAGGGGAAAGGTCCTGTGGGCCTTACGGGCTCCCAGGGGTCTAGAGATCAGCTTCTGGTCTAGGTGGGGCCCCTGGGCTGCTCTGTCCCATCTTTGCTGCCCCATTTGCATTCCAGTGGGGTACTCTACCTGCCACTGGTGCCACATGATGGAGGAGGAGTCCTTCCAGAACGAGGAGATTGGCCGCCTGCTCAGTGAGGACTTCATCAGTGTGAAGGTAGACCGGGAAGAGCGGCCCGACGTGGACAAGGTGTTCATGACGTTTGTGCAGGTGAGCTGTTTTCCAGTGGGAAAAATCCTGTCACTTGTTCACAGCAGTTCCCCTGACCCTGATGCTCTCTCCACAGGCCACCAGCAGTGGTGGGGGCTGGCCCATGAATGTGTGGCTGACTCCCAACCTCCAGCCCTTTGTGGGGGGCACCTATTTCCCCCCTGAGGATGGCCTGACCCGAGTTGGCTTCCGCACAGTGTTGATGAGAATACGGGATCAGGTAGGTGTGCATCCAGGAGGGAGGTACTCCAGCCCAGGTCAAGGAACCCCGAGCTCCATGCTGACCTCCAGGTGTGCCCTCTCCTCCCACAGTGGAAGCAGAATAAGAACACCCTGCTAGAAAATAGCCAACGTGTTACAACAGCCCTGCTGGCCCGTTCGGAGATCAGCATGGGTGACCGCCAGCTGCCACCCTCTGCCGCCACCATGAATACCCGCTGCTTCCAGCAGCTGGATGAGGGCTATGATGAGGAGTACGGTGGTTTTGCTGAGGCCCCCAAGTTTCCCACTCCAGGTCAGCATTCCTCAAGCCCTCCTTACCCCAGACCTGGTCTTGTGCTTCCTGTCCTGGTCAATGGTCTTCTGCTTCCTGGCATAGTCATTAGCCTTCTGTCCTCCCAACTGGCCAGGAGACTTGATACCTGCTCTTAATGATGACATTCTGACCCTGACCTACATAACGATCTTCCAACCTGGTCAATGACCCTGGGCAATGTTACTGGTCTGGTCTGTAACTTCCCTGGTCCACTATGGCCAATGATATTCTATTCTCCAGCTCAGGTGATGACCTTGTGTCCTTTGGGTTGCCCATTGACCTCCTGACTCTCAGGCTTTCCAGAGATGGCCTGCCTGTCAAGTGAACTCTTCTGGGTTGACTGTTGACCTCCTGACCTCAGCCTGGCCAGAGGCCTCTTGACTATCCACACTCCATCATTCTCTCACTCACCTGTTCTTGCCACCCCCACAGTGATCCTGAACTTCCTGTTCTCCTACTGGCTCACTCACCGTCTAACCCAGGATGGCTCTCGGCCCCAGCAGATGGCCTTGCACACCCTGAAAATGATGGCCAATGGGGGCATCCGGGACCATGTGGGCCAGGTGAGGGGCAGCAGGGCATTCCCTGGAGGAGCAGTGGGAGGCGGTGGCTGGGATCAGCCTCCAGCCCTGCATCTCTCACCTGGTACAGGGCTTCCACCGCTACTCCACGGACCGCCAGTGGCACGTCCCTCACTTTGAGAAGATGCTGTATGACCAGGCACAGCTCGCCGTGGCCTATTCACAGGCCTTCCAGGTGACCCCCTTGCCTAGTCCTAACCCTGGCTGCCTCTCCCAAGGCCTTCCTAGTACTGTGGCTCTTCTTTCATTTTTTTCTGTTTTTCTTTTTCTTTCTTCCTTTCTCCCTTCCTTTCTTTCTTTTCTCGCAGTACTAGAAATTGAACTCAGAGGCACCGTACCTCTGAGCTGTATCCTCAGCCATTTTAATTTTTTAAGTTTTGAGACAGGGTCTCACTAAGTGGCTGAGGCTGGCCTCGATCTTCAGGTCCTCTTGCCTCAGGCTTCTAAGTAGCTGGGATTACAGGCGTGGTCCATCACTCTTAGTTTCAACTCTTAATTCCTACTACCCGGCTCCCCTCTCCCAATTTCCCGGGAGAATATCACCCCTATGTACCTGGGCCACCCCAATGGCCTCTACTGACAGCCTCCTCCCTCCCCAGATTTCTGGTGATGAATTCTATTCTGAGGTTGCTAAAGGCATCCTGCAGTATGTATCCCGGAGTCTGAACCACCGGGTATGTATCCAGAGGAAGGTGGGCCTGGCTGTAGGAGAGGTTTGGGGCCTCCATTGCCCTTCAGGCTGTGGGACCCAGCCAACTCTTCTCTTTTCACAGTCTGGAGGCTTCTACAGCGCAGAGGATGCAGATTCACCCCCAGAGCGGGGCTCGCAGCCCAAAGAGGGTGCCTTCTATGTGTGGACAGTGAAAGAGATCCAGCAGCTCCTCCCAGACCCTGTACAGGGTGCCACTGAGCCTCTGACCTCAGGCCAGCTTCTCATGAAACACTATGGACTCACAGAGGCTGGCAATATCAGCCCCAGTCAGGTGAAGACTTCTTGGGAACACAGGAGCGGGCCTAAGACCTGCTGGGTATGTGGGCTCCCTCTGATAAGGCCATTTTCCTCAGGACCCCAACGGGGAGCTGCAGGGCCAGAACGTGTTGACTGTTAGGTATTCTCTGGAGCTGACTGCTGCCCGCTTTGGCTTGGATGTGGAAGCTGTGCGGACCTTGCTCACCACGGGGCTGGAGAAGCTCTTCCAGGCCCGGAAACACCGGCCAAAGCCACACCTGGACAGCAAGATGCTGGCTGCCTGGAATGGTGGGGCAGTCCTGTCTGAGGCCCAATCCTGTTTGTAGAATTCCCCTCACCAAGTTCCCCTGTCTGTCAGGCACCCTTAAAACTGCGGATTCTTCTTTTATTAGATTTATTATCCTTAATTTGCAAATGTGTTCATTCGAGGCTTAGAGAGTGGAAGTGACCTGCCCAGGGTCACCTTACAGGGGCCAGGAGGCCAGCTCTAACTGGTGTTGGGTCAGAGCCTGGGGTGTGGTGGGGACCTCCCTGGAGAGCTCTGGCCTCATCTTTTACACCCTTTCTTCTCCCACCAGGCCTGATGGTGTCTGGCTTCGCTGTGACTGGGGCTGTCTTGGGCATAGACAAGCTGATCAACTATGCCACCAACTGTGCCAAGTTCCTTAAGCGGCACATGTTTGATGTGGCCAGTGGCCGCCTGAAGCGCACCTGCTATGCTGGCAATGGGGGGACTGTGGAGCACAGGTGGGGGACCAGGCAGGCTGGGAGGGCTCATCTTCCTTATGTATTCCTAGCCCCTCTCTGCCCTTCCTCTGGATGAGGCCTCACTATGAGCTCCTAACTTCCCTGGGTCCATTTACTCCTCTGGGAAATGGGCTAGTGGCAGACACCAGATAGCTGGATTTTGAGGATTAAATGAAGGAACACATGAGAAATGTCCCCTCTGTGAAAGCCCCCGGCCTTCACTAGCCTCTCCCCTGTTGCCTGTGTCCCCAGCAACCCGCCCTGCTGGGGCTTCCTGGAGGACTACACCTTCGTGGTACGGGGCCTGCTGGACCTGTATGAAGCCTCACAGGAGAGCTCATGGCTTGAGTGGGCTCTACGGCTACAGGACACACAAGACAGGCTCTTCTGGGACTCCAGGGGAGGCGGCTACTTCTGCAGCGAGGCTGAGCTGGGGTCTGGCCTGCCCCTACGTCTGAAAGATGGTCAGTGTGGGTGTGGGTTGGCCTGGGGTCCTGCACCCAGCTGGGTTTGGCTTTCCCTGCACAAAGCATAGTTCAGGGTGGTGGTGAGGAGCTGGTATGGGCTGGCCTCACATCTCTGTTCTCTGCTCCTTACAATCGTGGGAACCTGTTTCTTTCTTTATTTTTTTATTTTTTATTTTTTGGTACTGGGGATTGAACCCAGGGGCACTTTACATCCCTAGCCCTTTTATTTATTTTTATTTTGAGAACAGGATCTTGCTAAATTGCTTAGGGCTTGACTAAGTTGCTGAGGCTGGCCTTGAACTTGCCATCCTTCTGTCTCAGCCTCCCAAGTCACTGAGATTATAGGCATGTGCCACCATGCTGCCCCCCCTTCTCTAATTTTTAGTTGTAGGTGGACACAATACCTTTTTTGTTTATTTTTATGTGGTGCTAGGGATCAAATTCAGTACCTCACACATGTTAGGCAAGCACTCTACCACTGAGCTACAACCCCAATCCCTGGCCTCTCTTTATATGTAAAAGGATATTAATGCTGGTACTGACTCACAGGGTTGATGGAAAGATTTATCTAGGTGCTCAATGGTCACTGGCATCCAGGGATTCATACCTGGAATGAGGCTGACGTGGTCCCTACTTTCAGGAAGCTTACAGTGTAGTAGAAGACAGCTAATAAACAGAAATAAGGCAATAATGCACTCGCCACATGTAGTTAAAGTTGTGATGAGGGCTGCAAAGAAGTAGGAGCCCTATACCATGTGGCTGCCCCCATGTCTTGTCTGTTGTTAATGGTCTCTCAAAGAGCAGGACTTATCCCCAGGGTCCAGTGCAATCCTGGCAAGTTGTAGTAGGTGCTCAGTAAATGTTTACTGAATAAATGAAATGGCCTCAGGAGAGAACCAAGAGGAGGAGATCCAGCTCAGCCTGAGGGGAGATCAGATTGAACCAGGCCTGGGAGGCAGGAGTAGGGACTATGGGGTCACAGAAGAACTGTGGAGATTGTTCAGACAGAGGGAAGAGTCTGAGAGACCCCAAGGGGGAAGCCCGGGCCCTGGAGGACAGAGGACAGGGCCTGCATGAAAGGAGGGCACTGGGGCCTGCAGGAAAAGGAGGGAAAGGCTCAGGAGACCTGCTTAAGGAAGTCACTCTGATGGTGAAGAAGGGATGGAGGTAGGGGAAACAAGTGACCAGTTAGGAGACCATTCATGGTGTTCAGTGCATGCAGGCATTGGCGAAGGCTCAACTAAGGGTTGAGCTTGGGATGGAGAGAAGTGGCAAAGTGGCATGTATTGTGGCTGCAGCCCTGGCAGGACTCAGATTAGAAGTGGGGGGTGAGAGACAGGAAGGGTGTGGCCACTCTGGCTTGAGCAGCTGGGTGGTGGACAGAGGTATCAGCAGTGAGACGGGGCCTGGAGACTGGCCGGCCAGCAAGAGGAGTTGAAGGTGCCATGAGAGAGCCATGTACCAACCACTGCTAGAGCAGGGAGGAGATGTCTTCCTCCATCCCCTCCCCCGTGGCCCCGGAATTAGTCTGGGGCAGGATCCTGAGACCCAGTGACCCTTTCTTGCCTCCAACCCCTGCCTCCCTCTGCCCTGCAGACCAGGATGGTGCGGAGCCCAGTGCCAACTCTGTGTCGGCTCACAACCTGCTCCGGCTGCACGGCTTCACCGGCCACAAGGACTGGATGGACAAGTGTGTGTGTCTATTGACCGCCTTCTCAGAGCGTATGCGCCGGGTCCCCGTGGCATTGCCTGAGATGGTCCGAGCCCTCTCAGCTCACCAGCAGACCCTCAAGCAGGTGGGGGTGCTGTTCCTCTGGCTGGGACCTGGGTAGGAGGGGAGCCGGGTTGCAACAGGGAAGAAAGTATGGGATAGGGATCCTGGGACTGTCCCCGGCAAGTGCCCTTGAGGCAGGTCCCTGCTCTGCAGTGGAGGTGCCTGTAGGCGGGTGTGCATCTGAGGAGATGGCCTGTGGCCTGGGCACATGCCCATGTGAGTGCCTGTCTCTGGCCTTCAGAGTATGGGTGCAGGAGGCAGGGACTAAATATGGGTCCCTGGTTGCTGGTGAAGTGTTCTCTGTAAGGCTCTGACCCCATGTGTGGTGTTGCCATGTGTGTGCAACCCTGGGGAGCGTGTCTGTGTGTGCATGTGCCTGCCTTTCTGGGCGTGGGCACGCTTGTGAGTGTTGGCAGTGTGCATTTGCCTATCTGCATGTGTACCCCCGTCTTCAGGTGTGCCTGCTTGTGTTACATGTTTGCTCTGTTGTGTGTGTGTGTGTGCGTGAGAGAGAGAGAGAGAGAGAGAGAGAGAGAGAGAGAGAGAGAGAGGTGGGGTTTGTACGTATGGCATCTTCCCCTGTATGGGTATCTGCTATGTATATACGTGAGTACCATCTCCCTGTGGATGTGTCTCTGT